TCCATTTGAGGATGTATTGTAGTTGGTTTGCCAGTGAGTAGAGAGTGAAATTTGGAGCTGTGAGTCCACCAAGGTCTTTCGGTTTTTGTAGAGTGGTCAACCTTATTCGAGGAGGTTTATTGTTCCAGTAAAATTTAGAAATGATGGAGTCCAGTGATGTGAACCAGGAGGTACGGGGGTGTGTTGGGCTCATGTTAAATAGGTAATTAATTTTGGGGAGGATCATCATTTTGATACTATTTATTCTGCCAATGAGAGAGAGTGGTTGGTTTGTCCAGCGGAGCAAGTTGTCTCTTATTGTTTTTAGTAGTGGTGTGAAGTTGAGGTTAATGAGCTCTGACAGCCTGGAGGAGATGTGCACACCCAGGTACGTGATGTGGTTGGTGGAGACAGGGATAGGGGGGCTATAGGCTGCCGTATTCCAGATATTATTTTGTAAAGGGAGGATTGATGATTTAGTCCAGTTGATGGTGTAGTCTGAGATCATGGAAAATTGTTCTATGACCTTTATTTTCTGTTCTATCGAAGATTGTGGGTTTTGCAGGAAGAGAAGTATGTCATCTGCGTATAGACTGATTTTATGGTGGTCATTGGGTGTTTGTACTGCTTTGATGGAGGGATCTTGACGGATGGCTGTGGCTAACGGTTCAATGAATATTGTGAAAAGGACAGCCCTGTCTGGTCCCCCTGTGAAGTGTGAAGCGCTCTGATGTGAGTCCGTTAGTGGTTATTGTGGCGGTCGGTGAGGTGTATAAAATGTTTACCCAATTGATAAATGACTCCCCAAAGCCAAATCTCTGCAGGGTGGAAAAAAGGAAGGTCCAGTTAACTTTATCGAATGCTTTTTCAGCATCGAGAGTGGTCAGTTATGTTGAGAAGTCTGCGAGTGTTGTTTGAGGAGAATCTGCCTTTGATGAAACCGGTTTGATCTGGGTGGATGATAGTTGGGAGAATTGTGTTTAATCTATGGGCTAAAGTTTTGATGATGATTTTGAGATCTACATTCAACAGTGATATTGGGCGGTAATTAGATGGGAGGGTGGGGTCTTTGTTGGGTTTTAGAAGTACTGTGATTATGGCTTGATTCATGTTGATTGGGAGATTTGAGGTATGCTTGATGCTGGAACAACTCTTTGGAACAGGGGGTTAAGGATTGACCAGAAATGTTTATAGAACTCAGCAGGGAAGCCATCAGGACCAGGAGATTTATTATTCGGCATTCTTTTGAGAGAATTTAGAAGTTCTTTTTCTGTAATTGGTGCATTTAGAATTTGGTTTTCATTTGGAGTAACACATGGAAGATTGAGATTATTGAGAAATAAGTCTATAGTCTCTTGTGATGGTTCGTTTTCTGTCGTGTAAAGAGTACTATAGAATGTTTTAAAGATATTGCTGATTTCTTGTGGTGATTGTGTTGGCTATACTGCAGAGTTCCTTAGCATGGGTATAGTTGATTTTTCTTTGTTTTGCTTGAGAAGGCCAGCTAAAAATTTTCCAGAATTAATGATGTACAGTTTTTCTTGTCTTAATTGTTGAAGTAGGAATCGTGTTTTCCTGTTTATTATTTTGTTGAGCTCATATTTACATTTCCGTATTTCATTTTGTGTTTGTTCTGTTGGCTGCGTTTGCGTTTGATGTTTCCAATTGCTTTATTTTATCTTCAAGTTCAGTTTCCTTTTGAATGTCTTTCTTTTTTTTGTATGAAGAGTATGAAATTATAATACCTCTTAAACTGCTTTGCCGGTTTCCCAGAGTACTGATGGGGATGTCTTTGGGAGTCATTTATCTCCAGAAAAGCTGTCCACTCTCTCCTGATAAGTTTGTCAAAGTCTGGGTCAGTTAATAAGGAGGTGTTGAGGCGCCATCTATTTGGAGGTTTCCCATATGTGGGTAGTTTAAGGGAGAAAGATACAGGCGCATGATCACTGATTGTGATTGGGTGAATAGTGGTATCTACAGTTGTTGGCAGGAGTGAATGACTGATAAGAAAGAAATCTAACCGTGAATATGAATTGTGTACAGGAGAGTAAAATGATATTTCAATGTTATTTCAATGTAAACCCGACGCTTTGGATGCCCAAAACGCGTTTGGTGTGAACCCAGCATAAGGCAAGCCTGGATATATGAGGTTTTACTAAAGTGAAACGTTTTTAATTGTATTTCATATGAAGTAGTTTCTCTATACTTAGTACAGGACTGCTCCACATCACGCACACACACGTACGCACACAGAGGCAGACGGGGACAGCCAATACAGTCTATGGTACAGCTGCGGATCACAAAGCAATGCATTCTCTGAACTATATGAAGCGCCTCAGTGAACCGTCCGTGGTGCAGCCACTAAGCGAGGCTTCGAACGTCACCACATACGTCACCACATACGTCACCACATACGTCACCACATACGTCACCACATACGTCACCACATACGTCACCACATACGTCACCACATACGCCTCGACCCACGCTTTAAAAAAAAAGCCCCCTTTTTACCCGGTACACGCATCGAAGACCCGGCACGCTCAGCACATCGCTAGATACTGAAGACATGCACGAAGGTCTGCACATGTGGGGTCTAAAGCGACCGGTTCGGCGAAACATTTGATGAAATGAACGTTTCGAGATTTTCCGACAAACGCCAACACAATAGCGCCCCCTGGAAATTTCAAATTTGCAAAACCTAGGAACCAGGAATAATATAGCCAGGAATGCATATTTTGGAGTAGGTACATGAAATTCAGATCAGTGATAGATCTCTATGAGACGAGCATAAAACTCTTTCTCGGCCTCACTCTGGGACCAACAGGAAGTCGGCCATGATGGGCTGAAGTTTCGCCGCTAATTTGACTTTTAATTTTTTACTTCGAACTAGTCCCTGGTTTTTCATCACACAGAGTTCTACCACGTAATTTCCTAATCTGGACGGATTGAAGTTTTACAATCATCAATAAAAAGTTAGAAATTCTTCACCGTTTTCGTCCCTCGCCATGGCGAATAAGGCCTGAGGGCCACAGGCCCAGACCTACAGAGCTGAGACTCACATCAGTAATATTAGGTTATGGCCTGAACGCAATGACACTAAAATCATTCGCCCAATATGAGCTCTTTAGCGCCACCTGTCGGAAAGTAATAGGGCACTAGTGCTCGGATCAGAATGATAATCGCTGAGTGTATTTTCTGAACCAAGATGAGCAAAACATTACGTTAATCAAAAGTTGTAAGTCCCACACCTGACCACTGGGGGCGCCGCAAAGTGGATGAATGAGCCTTTTGGGGCAAAATGCTTGTCAGGTGAGGCTACAAATAAATTCACAAATACAGCGTGTGACTCTGAACACAACGATATGCATCACACAACTGTGAGGGCAACAGCGCCACCTACAGGCAGTTCTAGGTGTTATGTTTTTGAATTTCAACTTGTCCCTGGTTTTTCCTCTGAGACTTCCTCCACATAGATTCTCTATCTGAAAAGATTGAATTTATACAGCCATCGAGAAAGTTAGAATTTCCTCATTGTTTTCATGCGAGGTGGTGGGGAATTTCTTCATGTTTGATGCTCTCCTGACCACAGGCTCAGACCTACAGAGCTAAAACTCACATCACTAACAGTTGGTGATGGCCTGTGCGTAATGGTGTGAAAATACACACCCAATATGACTCTAGAGCGCCACCTATGGAAGGCTTCCGACCTAAACTTTTCCAATCCTCACCAAAGTCGCACATTAAATTATTTTCATCCGTGCGAGCAAAATACTCCTTTACGTAGAGGGTGCATGTCCCGGAAGGGACCACTAGGGGCACACCAAATTCTATTAATGAGCTTTTCCTTGCCTCATCCTGGTCCGATTGGGTTGCGAATTCGTCGGCGAGTAGGCCGCTTTATGCTTGTGGGACTGGCGCCCGGGAGGCGGCCGCAAGAGTGGCGAGGCCTTTCATTGCCGCATGCGGCTTTAATTTACCATTGGGATGTTCAACGCTGCCAGGGACAAGGGTCGAACAAAGAATTTACCCTTTAAATTGTTTGATCAAGCCGTCACATCACTGTCAGAAGGGGGAATATTCTCGTAAAAGTGAATAAATTCAGAGAGAGAAATTGAAGAGCTAGAAAATGCAGTACTGGAAAACTCTTCCTCTTGAGGAGGTTGAAGAAGCCAAGCCCAAGAAATATCAAGCAAGACTCGCTGCAAAGGGGTACAGCACTGGCCTCAGCTTACAGTGGAGGTTGTTTAAACTTCCTTATAATACTTTCAGGACGCTTGACGTCCGCCCGATGTCACCATCATCCAGGTTTCTGTATTTCTCTGCTTCCTCTGATGCAGACCATGGATGTATTGCTTGCAGACCCCCATGGTTCTCCTGAAACACAGGAGTCTGCGCCCCGCAAACTGAGCACAGCTTTACCTCAGATTTCAGCACAGTTTGTGGCAGTAAAGTGTGGATTTAAAGAAAACCGAAGGATTTATGAAGAAAAAAAGTTCAGGATGACAAGGGACACTAAAATCCCCACAAAATCCGACCTTTGTGAAAGCTGTAGGTTCTCTGTCAGGTTTTCTGTCAGGTTCTCTGTCAGGTTCTCTGTCAGGTTCTCTGTCAGCTGAGGTCGCGCTGTTTTAGTTTACATTGAGTTCTATGGGGAAAATTTCTGGGTAGCCCACGTGAATTTTGTCTGGTTTAGTCTGCAGTACCGCAAGAATCCCCAGAGCACATGGGTCCTTCAGCTCCAATGTATTGTACGTCTGTAATTACTATTTATCCATTTTCTTACGCTTCATCCGTTGCCAGGTTGCGGGGGCAGCAGTCTGAAGCAGTGACGCCTCAGACATTCCTATCTACACCCTTCCTCCAGCTCATCCCGGGGGATCCTCAGCATGGATCTATTAAATCCATCCATGCTGAGGATCCCCCGGGACCCTATGACAAGTCTAACAAATGTTTTCAGAGCAGGATATTAGAAACAAACTGTGTAGCTTTAAAGACACCCTCTTGTTTGTGCAGATGTAATGACAGAGCTGCAGCACCCCCGTGTGGACATGTGTGGAGCTGCACACATAAACAGGTGCTTGTTTAGATCCATGTTCCAGTTCATAATCTGAAACAGGAAAAAACAACTTCACCTGTTGTTTACAGCGGTGGGAGACAACATGGGTCTGAAGCTGCAGAAAGAAGCACGAGACCAAAGCTGAGAAGATCCAGATCCATGATTATTCCTCCAGAGTTCTGCGCTGAGTAAGAACTGTACATTGAATGTTAGTCAGTGACGGGACCAGGACGGGACCAGGACGGGACCAGGACGGGACCAGGACGGGACCAGGACGGGACCAGGACGGGACCAGGACGGGACCAGGACGGGACCAGGACGGGACCAGGACGGGACCAGGACGGGACCAGGACGGGACCAGGACGGGACCAGGACGGGACCAGGACGGGACCAGGACGGGACCAGGACGGGACCAGGACGGGACCAGGACCTATCACTGTGTTTACTGAGAAAAAGCTGTTTGTTTCAGAACCAGAGCTCTGTAGAAGTAACCCGTAAAAGGGGAAAACAAGTATCTATTTTTTTTTTTTAGCTTATCATTTCTTATTAAAAATTGTTCAAACAATACAAAAAAACAACTGCAACAACAACATAAAACAGAAAACAAACGGTCCTCTTCACGTCCACTCACCTCACCGTCTATGACATCCCCTTCAACAACAACACCCAACAAAAGGTCAAGTGTCAAAAGAGAAAACAACAAAAACTCCTACATGTTGATGAACTAACTGGCATGATACATCCACATACACATTAGAATCCTGTACATGTTAAATGAATCCTCCTGTGACTCTTTAACGAAGCAGAACACTTTGCCAATGCATGAGTCTAATGGAAGAGTTCTCTATGTCAGATGTACACGTTTACAAAGTGTATGTGAGAGAGAGACCTTTTTACAGTATGTTTTCTCCTTGTTGCAAATTGTATAATGCTAGCCCACCACTTTAGATAATGTTCCTTCTCTTTCTCAGAAGGGATTAGATAGATACTTTATTGATCCCCGTAGGAGAAATTCAGGTGTCCACTAGAAGCAAAAATAAAATATCAAACTGATCATTCTAAAAATCTAACAATAGTAATAATCAGCAACAGCCCTTCAGGTCACAGCAGCAGAGGTGGAGTAGCCTCTGGGTGGAGCAGGACAGGTCACAGCAGCAGAGGTGGAGTAGTGTCTGGGTGGAGCAGGACAGGTCACAGCAGCAGAGGTGGAGTAGTCTCTGGGTGGAGCAGGACAGGTCACAGCAGCAGAGGTGGAGTAGCCTCTGGGTGGAGCAGGACAGGTCACAGCAGCAGAGGTGGAGTAGCCTCTGGGTGGAGCAGGACAGGTCACAGCAGCAGAGGTGGAGTAGCCTCTGGGTGGAGCAGGACAGGTCACAGCAGCAGAGGTGGAGTAGCCTCTGGGTGGAGCAGGACAGGTCACAAAGTGGAGTAGCCGCTTGGTTTGGACCATTTTCTCTGCTCTAGTCCAAAGTAAAATGCTTCATTAGTATTTTTCAAAGAGTTAGTATTCCTCCAGTGGATTTTCACCTGATCCGCTTGGTTTGGACCAGTCTGGACCAGTCTGAACCAGTGTAAAACCATGAACACTGTAGAAAAAAGTAGAAAAAAGTAAGAAAAATAACAATTGTTAAGCACTAAACAACAGTTGTTTCAGAGCTACTTAGGACCGTTTTCCAGCGCATTCAAAAGATCAGATATTCTTCTAAATATTCTTCAGAAATTTAAATAAGAAACTACTGCAACTCCCTCCTCCCTCCTCCATCAACCACATCACCTCCTCCATCAACCACATCACCTCCTCCATCAACCACATCACCTCCTCCATCAACCACATCACCTCCTCCATCAACCACATCACCTCCTCCATCAACCACATCACCTCCTCCATCAACCACATCACCTCCTCCATCAACCACATCACCTCCTTCATCAACCACATCACCTCCTCCATCAACCACATCACCCCTGTCCTCCTCACACACACCTCCTCCATCAACCACATCACCCCTGTCCTCCTCACACACACCTCCATCAACCACATCACCCCTGTCCTCCTCACACACACCTCCTCCATCAACCACATCACCCCTGTCCTCCTCACACACACCTCCTCCATCAACCACATCACCCCTGTCCTCCTCACACACACCTCCTCCATCAACCACATCACCCCTGTCCTCCTCACACACACCTCCTCCATCAACCACATCACCCCTGTCCTCCTCACACACACCTCCTCCATCAACCACATCACCCCTGTCCTCCTCACACACACCTCCTCCATCAACCACATCCAATACAAAATCCTGCTCCTCACAAACAAAGCCATCCACAACCTCACTCCTTCACACCTGACTGACCTCCTCCAGAGCTCCATTCCTGCCCACTCCCTCCGCTCCTCCTCCTCTCTCCAGCTCCTGGTCCCTCCTGCCTCCTCCTTCTCTCTCCAGCTCCTGGTCCCTCCTGCCTCCTCCTTCTCTCTCCAGCTCCGGGTCCCTCCTGCCTCCTCCTCCTCGTCCCCATGGGGAGTAGAGCCTTCAGCCGCTCTGCTCCTCAGCTCTGGAACACTCTCCCCCCTCTCACCTCCGTAACAGACTCACTCAAACTCTTCAAATCTATTTTTAAAACTCATCTGTTTAGACCTAAGTGTAAACTCACTAACATCATGACCACACAATGCTTTTAACTGTAGTTTCACTAAATATACTTTTTACTTACATGTAAAGGTGACCTTGAGTGTCTAGTGAAGCACATTAGAAATATTATTATCATTATTATTCTAAAGGTTTGTCACTTTTACCAGAGTAAATATGTTTTTGCCAATAGTATAATCAGGTTAATTCCCCTTGCTCAGATTGACCTGTATATATCCTAAAAACCGTTTAAAGACACTGTTGATGCTTCAAATGCAATGCCTTTAACATCTGCTGTTCTTGAGTTCAAAACTTGACTTCAGACAACAACAAAAAAATGACAATCTCCGGCTCTGAAACACAACGAGAACTGTCTGTTGATTTGAACCCTCAATTTATTTTGTTTGAAAATTGAGTGTTTGTCTATTGCTGTCTGATATTGTAAACTGAAAACTTCCTCCCAAGGAAGAGGTTTGTCGATTAGGTCTTTCCATTCACTAAAGGTTTTATATGGGATAGATATTTTTAATTATTTGTATTCATTTTTACACCCTTTAGCCATGTGTTCTTTTGTACAGACTGATGGCAGACCAGCAGCTAGTTTTCTTCAGTGATTTTCTTTTATAAATCACAGGTTGTTTGGATAATACATGTCAGTTAAATTGATCATAGGAGACACACGGAGCATATTAACCTGAAATGTCTTATCCAAACAAACAATCATTTATAAGGAAATCAAAATAATCTGCAGTTTATCTTCTGTTTAGGGAAAAGAGCATTTTCTGGCCTGGCGTGGTCTTCTCTGTGTATTTAATGGATTTTGGAGTTTTACCCTCCACATGTCGACCATTTCAAGGGAGTCCATAATTTTCTGACTGAACTTGTTCTCGTCTCTGTTGCAGGATTGAGGCTCAGAAGAGAAAGGATTCTGTTTGGACTTCAGCCTCAGAACACACTGAGGCTGTGTCCTGAACACTCCATTATGACTCTGCTTCAGGGCAATAAATGTCCCGTTTTTTATACCTCCACTCTCCCTGTTACACCAAAGTTAAATGTGATTTAAAATGATCCAATGATTTAAAATCAGTATTGTTAGTGCACAAAAAAATAAAGAATATAATGTACATACCAGGAAGTACGACCACATTAGTCCAGTTCTCAGGTCTCTGCACTGGCTTCCTGTGGCTCAGAGAATAGACTTTAAAACAGCTCTGCTTGTTACAAGTCTCTCCATGGCCTCGCACCAAAATATATTAGTGACATGTTAGTACCATATGAACCAGCCCGGACTCTGAGGAGCACAGGGACTGGACTCCTGTTAGTGCCCAGAGTCAGAACTAAACATGGGGAGGCTGCTTTTCAGATTCATGCTGCTAAAATCTGGAACAATCTTCCTGAAGATGTGAGACAGGCCTCCTCTCTGACAATGTTTAAAACCAGGTTGAAAACCGTTCTGTTCAGCTGTGCATACAACTGAGGGATTTTATATTTTTATCTTATAACTGTGACTATTTATGATTTTAATGCTTTCTTATTTTGTTCAGCACTTTGTATGAATTGTGCTATACAAATAAACTTGCCTTGCCTACATACAGGGGTTTGCTCATTTTATCATGTGATTATTACAATTAATTTTTTACTTTTACACTTTTTGAGAGTGGCCCCACTGAAAGATCAAGGCTATGCTCACACTCAGAGAGCAGCCGTCCTCCTGTGGACTCACCACCTGCAGAGGGTCAGTGAGGGGCTGGAGCTATGAGACCCCTGACCCAGAAATGGATTAAAGGGTAGAAAATGGATGGATGGATGGATGAACTTTTACACTTTTTGAGAGTGGCTTAACAGGTTTAGATTAAAGGTTTTAAAACCGATGAATAATAAGATCATGATATACATTTCATTACATTTTAGAAACATTTGAAGTGGATGACTTTTTCCTGAGATATTGTTGCAGATGGGATCAGCATCCATCTATTATAAAACATTCAACGTACCATCACTGTCCTTAGACCCTTCCTGCATAAGCACAGACACAGGGAGGCCCTCAGAGAGAGGGATCAACTGCTGCAGACGGACAGACTGTAGGTCCAGAAATATCAGTATATTATGTCTAAACACGGTCAGGAATCACTATGGAGATATCAGGGAACCACACAAACAGTCACTGATTATAACAACAACTTAAAACACGAGGTACACAACAGATGATTGTGTGCCTGCCTCTCATAGACACCTGGCGACGCAGTTCCAAGAGGTTCCGAGGGCTGCTATAGTTATTTGTCTCCACAAGAGGGAGCTACTCGACCAATACACGTTGCTAGATACGGCATAAAATCTAAGGACTTTGAAATTAATATTCAAACCAGATCAAACCCTGTGCTGTTTACATCCTGTACCTGTGTTATTAAACTACCTCCTATAGCCCTGTGCTGTTTACATCCTGTACCTGTGTTATTAAACTACCTCCTATAGCCCTGTGCTGTTTACATCCTGTACCTGTGTTATTAAACTACCTCCTATAGCCCTGTGCTGTTTACATCCTGTACCTGTGTTATTAAACTACCTCCTATAGCCCTGTGCTGTTTACATCCTGTACCTGTGTTATTAAACTACCTCCTATAGCCCTGTGCTGTTTACATCCTGTACCTGTGTTATTAAACTACCTCCTATAGCCCTGTGCTGTTTACATCCTGTACCTGTGTTATTAAACTACCTCCTATAGCCCTGTGCTGTTTACATCCTGTACCTGTGTTATTAAACTACCTCCTATAGCCCTGTGCTGTTTACATCCTGTACCTGTGTTATTAAACTACCTCCTATAGCCCTGTGCTGTTTACATCCTGTACCTGTGTTAACTACCTCCTTTAGCCCTGTGCTGTTTACGTTTTGCCAACCTCTGCACTTTATAATTAATAGATCCATCCATCCATCCATCCATCCATCCATCCATCCATCCATCCATCCATCCATCCATCCATCCGCACGCACGCACGCACGCACGCACGCACGCACACACACACACACACACACACACACACACACACACACACACACACACACACACACACACACACACACACACACACATAACGCGTTTGGTCTGAACGCACTCTGCGCCGTCTACCAGCTATAGCGCTTCTGACAGCTAGCTCCGCCCACCCGCTTATATAGAGGCATTGTAATGCCTCTATCACAATGCCTCGCCTCTTCACACCCAATGTGCACCTCGGATAAAGTCTGTAATATAAAATCCTAACGTACAAGTAGCAGCCATGGATCTATAAGATAGCAGCTCAGACTGGCTGTACTGTTTTTTAATATTAAATATAATTGTTTTGACAAGATGGTTAAAATAGACTATATAATATAACCTATATTATAATCACACTATTGTAGCGTGCCACAGTAGTTTAGTGTTGTGGGGACTGTTAAGTGCTTGTGTGGCAGTAAGGGGGCACAAGGGGGCGGTAGTGTGCAGTCTTTAAAAGGCACTGGCCTGTCTCCTTCGGTCTTGGCCATGGATCTATTATAATAACGGTCTTGGTCTGCACACTACTGTACCTGGTCCGGTGTCGTGAACCCCCGTGTTGCTCCACAGGTACAGTGTTTGTTTGTGACTTTTAGAATCAGGCGTTTAGCTAATCGTTCCTTTTTACATATATATATTAGGCCTGTAAGATGGGGTTGTCTGCCATCCCGCCGCAGCTCCTGTTCAGTGCAGGTGTGGAGGGTGCGTCAGCCTCCTGCACTTTACGTGCCCTGCTGCTTTAATGGTGGTACTGCAAAATCAAACTATAATAGATATCTTGCTGGTGCTGAGGAGAGGAGCGGCCGCCTTGCCTTTTTGTTTTCCTTTTATCCAAGCGGAGATCTGTGGTGGCTTGAATTGTGTGCCGCTTTGTCAACATGGACTAAATCTAATTGCTATACTCAATACCTAAACCATTTAGGTTCAGTATAAATAAAGAAGAAAAAGTGTAAATCAGCTGAATCTGGTTGTTCAATCTCCATTGACATACAGATTGTATGTCTATGTAGGAGATCTTCAGCTGTGATGTTGGGGCCTTCGTTGCCATGGCGATGTGTTTGGGATCAGTTTTATGAAGTCCACGTTTCTTCTTCATCACTACACGACATTAGACATGGTCCACAGACACACACTGGACACTACAGGACAGATGTATGACTGAGCTTAAAGCCCTCCTGAACCTCAAGAAAAGGGCTTTCATCTCAGGGGACAGGGAGGAGCAGAAGAGGATCCAGCACGAGCTCCAGTGGAGGATCAGGAGGGCCAAGAAGGACTATGGGAAAAAGCTGGAGCAGAAGCTGGCCCAGGGAAACGCCCGCGACGTGTGGAGAGGCCTAAAGAACATCTCCGGCTTTGGACAGAGTGCCAGAGGAACAGCAGATGGAGACCAGCACCGGGCGGACGAATTTAACCAGTACTTCAACCGGTTTGATTCTCCCCCCTCTCCATCTGCCCCCCCTCCCGCCCCCACCTCTTCACACGTCTCCAGCCCAGTGGACACCGCCCAGTGGACACTGCCTCCGGCTGCCCCGGGCCCTCCTGCCCCCGCATCCCCAGCCCCCACCTCGGACAGTACACCCCAGTCCCCCCCCCCTCTCCATCACACCGGACCAGGTGAGGAGTCAGCTCCAGCGCCTGAAGCTGAGGAAATCCGCAGGACCGGACGGGATCAGTCCCAGGCTGCTGAGGACCTGTGCAGACCAGCTCTCTGGGGTCCTCAGCTACATGTACAACCTGAGCCTCAGCCTGGAGAAGATCCCTGTCCTGTAGAAGACCT